TAACCCTTTGGAACTGGTTTTCCGTCAGGAAGCATGTACGGGTTAACCGATGGGTCATAGTAAAGTTCGAACAGAGTTGGTTCTCTTTCTTTCTTCTCTTTGCCTTTCTTTTCCATTGGCTCAGCTTTTAAGCTGGCTAGTTCTTCTGGTTTCATCTCAGATACCTCTGCTTCAAGTTCTGGCGCCCCTGATGGTGAGCCTGAGACATCAGCTGGTTCTTCTTCACGTATATCGGACTGATCGGGCCCTGGGTCATCGCCATCTTGATCATCGCCATCCGGTGGATCGTCTTCATCGTCCTCTTCGGGTTGATAATCTAACTCCTGAAGATCGAGCACCGGCTTCTCCTTGTAATGAAGCGGGAAGATGAAATCACCATTAGGCAAAGCAACACGTTTGGTTCGTATCGTTTTCAAATGTCCTTCTTTCAAGAAATAATCCAAGATGTCAACATTCGCAACCAAATACTCCCCCCTCCAAACATGTTCGGCCTGGATGTTGTATCCTAAGAAAACACCTCTCTTGGCATTGGGAGCAAACTTACCTCTCTTTGGTTCGTACTTTCCTTCCCAAAAGAAAAGGAGACGTCCGAAAGGAAGTTGTCTACCAAGGAATCCGTTGTCAAAACGCAGTGTCCAAGGTGGGTCACCACCGTTCAATTGTTTGACAATGTTGATGGCCATGGCATGGTGTTTGGAGGCGTAAGGCCATAAGGACAAAGGCATGTTGGCCTGAAGAAGATTGGAGCGCGCCCCTGATTTTGCTTCTTTACGAAGCTGTTCTTCGGTCTTTTCCCCTGCTACGGGAACATCTTCAAAATCAAACGGAACTTCTACTTCTGGGTCACTGTCCTCTCCTTCCTCTTGTTCCTCATCGGCATTGGCAGCTACGCCAGCTTCGTCATCCTCGCCTTCCTCTTCGGCCATGGCAAAGCCTTGGTCGATGGTGAACTGGTGGATGGAATCGAGTACCTTAGTAAGGCGTGTCCTTAGTGACTCAGGAATAGAAAACGGGCGCATGTCTCGTCAATGTAGGGAACTCTACCTTGCAACTTGAATTTAACACATTGTCCATCAGGTCGGAGAAAAATGGGAGTGGTGTCCTTTCCCCAAACAAAGTCATATCCCTGTTCTAAGCATCTCAAACCAATTGAGAGTGCGGAGGGAGTGCTTTGAAGAATGTATGGGCTAAAGGATTCACACAATCCCGGAAGAATCACCTCAACTACATCTTCGGCAGGAATGGGGCCATTGGCAGTAGTGAGGGAGATGGGTTCATTGGACTTGAAGATTTTAGTGGCCCTGTTGACGGTCTTCGAATCTTTGCCCACGATATCCTGGTCAGTGCCAGTGTCTCCAAGCCACTTCTCCATACCAACAGTACTAGGCATCGCTGTTACGCGAGCACAGGAAGGTACCTGTTCGCCGGCGACCGTCCTGCACTTTGGGCAGCACAAATCATCGGGGCCTTCTGGGGAATGATCGCAAAGGAAATCACACGCAGGCTCTTCGGTATCCATAGATTCGGGCATCTGCCTAAGTGATTCCGCTGCCAAAATGGCGTCCTTAGCGTCACACTCGCGGGACTTTGGACATTCCTCAGTGGTCCGGAACAGGTTCCGCTTTCTGCTCTTATTCACTACACGCCGGTACATGTCCTTCCAAACAGGGAAGGTGTGTACCTCTGGCTTGAATTCAAAACGAATTCTCCTCTCTTGCACAACACGGAAAATTGACTTCCCAGTCCAATCAAACTTCTGTTTCGCGTTTGGGTGTTTCTTCCAGTTACCCTTTAATGTCCTACTCTTCCCCTTCGAGTCAGTGACTACCATGGTAAACTGGCTTTCCAGCCTGGATGACTCCACCGGACAGGATTTACGTGTAGGGAGAAACAATCTGTTTCTAGGCTTCAAATGGTGCCTGATCAATTCGGTGCCATCTTTGGAGAATTCCCAGTAGTCTTTGCTCTTACGAGGTTGTGTAGCGGTTGCTGCTAAGCAAGACATGGCGAAACCTGTTTGAATGCATGGACTAGCCTTTGGACTCTTTTCCTTCTTTTCCCTTTTGCTCTTTTTGTCCTTTTTGCCCTTCTTGGATTTCTTGTCTTTGGACTTTCTAGCTCTGGGAGAGGGACTTCTTCTGCGTGGGGCTGGCGTGGCCGTGTCACCGTGTTTGAACGGGCATTTGTCACCCCTTTTGCAGTTGCCCTTTGCAAAGAATCTGCATGGCTTCTCAGATTTTCTGCCTCTACTTGAGCTTCTTGATGAGTTCCTAGAACTGCTTCGGGAAGACGGTCTTGATGAGCTCCTGGATCGGCTTGACCTAAAAGACGAGCGACCGCTTGAACTTGCGCTACGCGAACGAGACGACTCCCGGCTAAGGGGGCGGGGACGAGCGCTAGAGTCGTGTGAGTACTTGCATTTGCTTCCGTACTTGCACTTGCCAGTTTTGGCGAACTCATAGCATTGATTGCCGCCGTCACCCTTCGCACTTCGTTTGCCATAACTTGGGCTTCGTGTGCGCTTGTCACGTGGTGCCGGATTTGCATATTTAGCTGAATGCGATTGAGAGATTTTCTCTCGATTGGTCCTTAGCCTTTCTCGATCAAGATACCGTCGAACAGAATTGATGAGGAATTCATAGCTTCTGTCATTACTTCCTTCCGAAGCACGCTCATAAACATCAAGATCAAACCTTAGTTTACGGGACTTCCTGACCTCTCTATAGAAAAGATCCTTGAGGGTTGCCGGGTCAGGCACATGACTCATTCTGGTCAACACGCTTTCCCATTTCCTAAGAAAGGATTTCAAGTCATCGCTGTCAAGCGAGATCTTCAGGAGGTCTTCCGCGCCATACAGTGCACCCGCTTCTTCACTAGTTTTGAAGTGGACTTCAAACATGAGCAAAACCTGACGACCACGAACAATCCGACCCTGCTGTGCCTCAGATTCCTTGCAGTTAAGGATTTGCTGAGACAGTTCGCCTTTGGCAACCTTAGTCAAAGCAGCAAGGAGTTTTGTATCTAAGGTCCGGAACTTGCCTGGGTCAGCCAGCTTGGAACAAAGCTTTGCTTTGTCCTCCCGAACGGCGTATACCTCAAGCACCCACGCGAACGCGGCATCTGGGTCATCGGACGCGGACCAGATCGCTTCGCGAACTGCGGCCCTCCAAGCGCGGTACCTGTCAGGACTTGGGGATTCAGGGAGATCTATCTTATCTGCCTCTTTTGCCTTGGGCCTATCTGAGTCTTTGCTTTTAGCACCCTTAAACCCCTCTAGCAAGGCCCTCTTGATGATTTCCCCCAGATCTTGGTCTTGTGGAGTTCTTACCTGAGACGCCGGCCTTTCGTCTTTGCGGTCATCTTTGTTCTGTGTTGCTTCCTGGTTAAAGGAGCTTTTGTACAGAGGCTCATCGCTGAAGTTGTACTGCGCCGACTTCTTTTTGTACTCTGTCCAAGGATCTGGTTGTTTAAACTGTTGCTTCTCCGTGGAGGCTGTAGCTTGTTCCGTTGCGGGCGCCCCTGTTCCAGAGAACATTGAAGAAAATCCTGTATTGCAGCTTGTTGCATTTGCATCCATTGCCGTCTTTAAAGGAATACCTCCTGCATCTGGGGGCGAACCTTCTAAGGTTGCGGGAACTGAGCCTTCCGTACGAAGAGGTTCATATGAACGAGGTTGACCAACGGGAAGAACATTTGGTTGAGCAGGAGGTGGAGGTGGCTCTTGATGTTGTGGCCCTGGTTTAACGGGGCTTGCGGCTTGTGCCTTGCGCTCGGTCTCCTTGCGCTCTTCTTCCCTGTCCGTTAAAGCCTGCACAACACGCCTGAGCTCATCCATTTCACCTTTCAACATAGTATTGTCCTTGCGCAACTCAATGATGGTTTGTTCTTGATTTTCCCTGTCAACGGCGTTCTGCATCTTGGTTGATTCCATTTCACCAATAAGTGTCTTGATCTTGGCTTGCGCAATCGCCAACGAACTAGTCAGTTCCTCGCGCTTGAACTCCAGATCTATTGCAACGCGGGCTTCTTCAGCTGACGAAGATCGGGCTTGGTCAGTTGCCTCAATTGCTGCCTTGCGTCTAGATTCTTGCTGCTCGGTATACTGACGGTGTTCAGTTCTCAGTTTGTCAACAAATGCATTGCCTTCCTCTGTTAAGGCGTTCTTCTCTTGTATCTCATGAGCCATTGTTGCCTGAGCTAGCCGTTGTTGAAAATGTTCTCTTTGCTCTTCCAACGTACCTTGAAATCGTTTGATCGCAACGTTGTCATGCTGTTGGACCAATTGCTGAACATTTTGTTCTTGCTGTTGGGCCCCCTGTTGAACATTCAACACTGCCTGCTCTGCCGCAACTTTGGTTGCCGCTATGGATTCGGAAGCTTCCCTCTCATAGATGTGCCTGAAACGCAATGCTTCGAGTTCTGCTTCCCTCCTGGCTTGCTCGCTGAGTAAAAACTCATGTTGCTGTAGTTCCCGTCGTAGTTCTTCATCGCCTGTTGATGTATTCAGGTTGACGACGTTGAACCGTGTCATTGCCAACAAGTTGTTTACTGTTGGCGCACCCGTTACGGTGGCTGACGGCATACCTGCTAGGGTAGCTTGTGTCGCCTCTTGGAGAGTAACACTACCACCACTATTTAGCATCTGTTGGTACACCTCCGAAGCTACCCTTGGATCCATTGCTGCCACCTGAGCGACTGCCTGCTCATGTCGTTGGGCTGCATCCAAACTATTGGGTAAACTCGGAACAATGTCAAAGCCACTTCCGCAGGAGTTCGGTGCGACGTCATCGTCCATCGGGTCTACGGCTGATAACCTGTATTTTACAGGATCAGCTCGGATTTCCTAACTAACCCTGTCTAGCCGTTAAGCACCTTTTACTCTACCCTTGAGAGTACACGCTATGGGGTCCACGGGGATGAGGTGAATTTCAACAACATCTACTGTAACTACTTCGAGCTTGAGGGAAAAAAACAAAGACTCGCCTTCAAATCCAGGCGTCACTCTTTGTTCGTCTTCTGGTTTCCAGGCTCGAGCTTGTTCAGAATCAACTTTGCAAATTGAAGTCGTGATCTTCCTTAGGCCACTTTTGCCTTGCCCGATATGGCTGTGTAGGGATGCCATGGAGGTCTTTGGCATCACAAACTCCACAGGCAGCTTCAGCGAACAGGCAACAAATTGCTCATAAACAGTCCACACTCTTTTCAAATAAACTGGATCTTCCCACGTGTCCAAAACGGCCACCATCTTTCCGGCTCGAGTCAGGTTCTTCTGAAAGGAGTTCTCCAGGTCATCGCTACCCGCCGCGACTTGCTCGACAATAATCCGAAATTGATTGTTCGAAAAAAAAACACATGTAGAGAAAGATCGAACTACTGTCCCGAGCAGGGCTCACATTCATCCGGAACATCTCCAATGCACTGCGCAACTGCCCCATGGTGTACTTCCAAGTCCACGACAGAAAATGGGTCTGTGGGCGCCGATCGGCCCGTGGGATCCAATCCACCAGCGCGCAGCCCAACCTTCCATCTCTGGGGCAAACGATGTCCTTTCCAATAGGAGCTTGCTCCTCCTTCAACCAAAATGCTTCTTTCATGTCATTAAAGGTCGGATTTTCCAGCCCGGTTCGCCAAAAAGCCAGTCGGTGAAATTCATTCGACAAAACATACCGGAGACTCACACCTGCTTGTTCACTCTGATGTGCTCGCCTTTGCTGCAGTTCCTGCTTGACATCTTCAGAGCACATGCCCAAGGGTTCAAGGAGTTGAGTGTACTTATCAAGCGTGACGCCTTGCTCATGGCGTTCCTCAAGCCACAGTTCTTCTTCCAAATCTCTCATTGTTTGCTTTCTTTCCCTTTCTTTTTGTGTGTCAGCAGACAAAGCCTCGCTAAAAGTACTCTGAAAGACACTTCCCAGCATCTGCCTCATGGCCTGATCGATGTGTTGGTCTACAGCGCGAAATCCCACGGTTTGTTCAATTTGGGTTTTTACCCATTGCTCCTCTCTTGGGTCAAAGGCTTCCACTTCTTCGCAACGTATCGCAGCCAGGGCGTTGGAAATGGCACTCAGCCCCTCTTCACCTCTTAGCATCGTCTGACGCAAATGGTTCCAAGCATCCTCCGGCATCGTAATGGTAATTGGTATCTTAAGCTGGCAGGCACGGAACTGTTCATAAAGGGTCCAGATTCTTTTCATATGGGGGGGCTGGTCCCAAGAATCTAGCATCATTACCATTTGCCCAGTCAGGCGTATAGGATCCTCAAACGAATGGTCGTCGCTGATGATTCGAAAGTGATTCGTCACGAAGAAGCACATGTGGAAAAAGATCGAGTTTGCTTCAACAACAGCATTCGCCTGGAACACTCGCAATGCACTCTGTACCTGCTCCAATGTGTACCTCCAGCTCCATGACAGAAAATGGGTCTTTTGGCGCCGATCAGCCCGTGGAATCCAATCCACCAGCGCGCAGCCCAACCTTCCATCTCTGGGGCAAACCATGTCCTTTCCAATGGCATTTTCATTTAACCAAAATGAAACCTTCATCTCTTTGAAGCTCGGATCTGTGAGGTGGGTGCGACCTCTTGCCAGTTCTGCAAATTCCTTCGACAGTAAATAGCGCAAACTCACTCCGGCCATTTCGCTTTGACGTGCTCGAATCTTAGAAAGGCATGAATGGAACTCACTTTGGCTATACCCATGCTTGAATAGGAATTGGGCATGCACATCCAAAGTGCAGTTTGCTTCATCCCACATCTCCTGAAATACTGTCTCAAATCTCTTGTTAATCTTGTCACCGATCCGTTCGTGTCTTCTCCACATGTGTCTTTTCCAAAGCGACAAAATACACAAGAAGCCTGCCAGGCAGAAGCAAAAGGAAAAAGCTGCAGCCACCATCAAAGGCCACCACATGCATCCATCACCAAGCTCAACAAGAGGAAAGGAGCATTCCATGGCAAGGCAGTTTTGCTCGCCCCAAACGATCTCAAGTGTAGGGATACATGTCTGCCATCAAATCACTGCAATTTAAGCACATGCGCATGCCAGTCCTGTTTATTCTGTTGCCAGTCAGAATGACATACTGCTTTCTGCTGATGAGTTTTCAAGTCCTATCTATCCAGTTGCAGCAAGTGGCTGGTTTCAAGGCTTGCAGTTCTCTATGCTCGCACCGCCTTCAGTTTTACTGAGAGCAACACAGCGTATCACTCTTCTCAAGTCAAATCCTTCAGATTCACTAAGTCTATGATGAACAAGGCGATTGCACACTGAAGAAAAGGCGGAAAAAAGCGCTGACTGATACCAACTATCCACCACGGTTCCCCAGTTTAAGCTTTTCCCTTTGCCTCCACGGCACCCTTTCGTAGTTGCATATTCATGGTTGCGATCCATCATCAATGAGCACCTAACATGCTTTCACGGCGATCAATGAGCACCAGCATGCGTTTGAAACCATCCTTCATCCACAGTCTTCAGCAATGATGGATCACAACATCCGAATCGCAACCAGCTTTTCACCCACCCAGCTCGTCGCACGACCATTTCCATTTCTGCCATGAAGCAACGTCCCTTACGAAAAGAAGCGGACCCAACCGCTACCAGGCACAAATAGATGGCTGAAGCAATACAAGGGATATCCATGGCCTGATTGCAGAAAACCAAGAATGCTAATCCCATCAATCACCGAAAACTTTTCTAGGCAGTTGCTAGACTGCAAATGCAACGAAATCCAAACATCCAGTAACATCCAGAATTTACTATAGCAAAAACGCTCTGAATCTATTCCACGTCCCATCGGATGTTGGGTCCCATTTACCTGACAGCACTATTCAGCATTTTTGCCAGGAAACAACATCAGCCTGGCACTGCGTGGCTGAGCAAAAATAGAGAAGCACATGGCATCATGGCACCACTCCAAAGTTCTCAAGCTCATCGTCTTCATTCTGAGGGCGATCCTTGCACATTTCCGTGATCCACGAGTTGGTCAAAATGAGGCGGCTGCTGTGCTGTGGTGCACGGACAAGCGATCGCTGAGCGCTGCAGGAAGGCATGCAGCGGTCTTTTTTGGGCCACCAAGTGTCAACTGCACCTGAGCAGACGCCCAAGAGGTGTTTTACAACCAGAGATTTGTTGAGCCGCCATCTTCAAGTTCTGCTTGCATCCCAAAGGACGCTTTACACCATGTTCCCTGCCTCCCTCAGAAACATGCTCGCCCCCAAGCTCGACAAAAAAACTTGTGGCATTTGTCTGAAGAGGTTCAAGGTGATCGCAGAGGAGCTTGGTCGAGGTTCAAGGCGATGCGTTGAAATGATGTGCTATCAACCATCTGCAAGCTCAAAAGAAAGGATACCAAGTGCACCCACTTGAAAGTCTCTTCCTCACCATGGTCTCCGAGTAAAGCTTCCACATTTCGGCCGATGATGTTGCAACAGCAGCTGCCTGAGCAAGCATACAGCCCGCAGAGATGTGAGAATCCACCAGGGAGGGCTTTGTCATCTCCTAAAAGGTCCAGTTGAGTTCGCTCGCCAGGTAACCGCTTTTTAGGCTCAGAAACACCAGCACGTGTGAAAGAAACAGCACACAGCTGTCAAATCACAAGTGCACCAGACCAAGTCATTGAAGCCATCTCCAACTTCAAGCAAGTCTGGCATTGCCAGACAATTTCAACTTCAACTATGTGTGATATGGTCTGGCCCTACAGATCTCCAAAGAAAGACAAAGCACGAAGCAGGCTTGGTGTGGCTCTGCGCTACCACGTCGCTGACAGCAAGTGGCGAGTTTCCTGACGCGCACGTCTGGCATGTCTCGTCTTCAACTTTCAACAAATTAGACTAACGACTTGACAAGAACGGCAGTAGCTTAGGTGCAGAAGAACTTGACAAAGCATTTCGAACAATCATGCCACAAATGTGAAGGTAGATGTCCAAACCCAGAGGGAGCACTGGGAATTAGGGTCAAGTACTGCCAAAAGATTGACATGGAACCCGACTTCCGCTGGTTTGTCGGCTTTAGAGTCTTTCACTGGAGGGGGACCTCGTGTTGGGACTACCACATACTACCACCGAATCAGAAGGCTACAGGACTCTGAAAGCTCTCGAGCGTTCAAGCGTTCGAGCGATCGTGTTGCGTTCCTGAAAGGAAGGGACACTTCGAGGCAAACTCACATGGAAGTGGAAAAGTCGATGGCACTCCCTGCTTGCAGAGGGCAATGGTCTTTCTAGGGACCATGCCATCGAACTGGGGGGGAAGCGATCTCGAGATCGAACTGCGATGGCCTCTTCACTGCTGTCACCTTCTTCCACTGTCATCAACCCCTGTCGCGCGGCGAAGAAAAGCACATGCCCCAGACGAGACAACGCACTTCTTTCATGGATACGAGCTACAGCTAAAGTCAATGATGCATGTTTCAACTGGAGACCACCACAGCCCGCTACTACAAAGCCAAGTGGTTGGGGCAGTCCCTCTTACTTGGAAACAAACCCAACCTCAAATAATTGATCCCACGCTTGTCACGTGCACCTAGACATCTCTTTGTTCCACTTCATGTTTGTCCAACCCAGATTTCGTGGCCTCTGGCCGATGCGTATAGTCTTGCAAAGGAGTTGGTGGAGGAGCACAGCACTGCCTGAGGATTCGCACAGCCAGGGAGGTCTTCCCAGGAGCGTCATCTTGCAGAGCAAGAAATTTGCGAGGTCTTGCAGCATGGAATTGCACACCACAAAGCTTTGGTACGATTCAGGTCCCCCAAGCAGCCCCTTTTGGGGGGGGGCAGCAAATTTGTGGTTCGGTGCCAGTGCCATCTGTATCGAAACACCGAAAAGTGCACGAAATCGCCGGACTCGTTCTCTCGTTGTGAGGCAGCGGCCAACAGGAGCAAACAGCCATGAGCCTCAGAGCCAAATGGGCAGGTATTAAATTTAGAACATTTGTTGCGACCCTTTAACCTCTTCTTGGTTGAGTCAATGTGTGGGCTCGCAAACATCCCTTTAATAAGCCTATGGTCTTGCCTGAACAGCCTGGTTTGACCGGGCTTGAATCTCCTGGGCTCGACCAACTGCCAACCCGCAAACAAAGTGGCAGTAACACAATTGTTTCGTTATATCTGGCTTCATGTTGGAAGCAACAATGTCGTGAAATCCATTTCCAAGGAGTTTGTGCCTGGAACACATGCCTCCTTCGTTACCAAGCGGATGAGTGGTTCACAATGCTGTACAGTGCTCCATGTTCTAGTAGAATTCGAGCAAAGGCAATGGTGTCCACTAAACTGGAGCAGCCGGTCTGGTGCAGTGGACTTTTGGGTCATTGACAATCCTACACCACTGAAATGAAGGGGAACCCAAATCCATGGCATCGAGAAAAGCCGGCCCATTCACAGTTCATGTCCAGGTTCTGTTAGCTTTGGTGGGTGCCATCGGTGCCATCTCAGGAATTTCTTTGCCAAGTGACAAAGATGCCACGAAGAGTGCAGCAAAGCTCCCGGCCGCCAAGCTCCAATGGAGCTTCACCTCGCAGTGCTGGTGGGAACCAACGCCGCCCATGAAAGACTGGCCCGTGGTCCCGAATTTGTAGGATACATAGCACATCATAGGACTCCAACGTCCATGACTCCACTTGCAACTTCTCTGCCTATCCTCCAGGTGCGATGTGGTGATTTCTTGCGTTTCTTGCGCCACCGCTCTCAATTCCCCCTCTGTGTCTGATCTTCAGTCGCACTTCAAGTCTGCCTCGCTGACCCAAGATGAAAGGCAAGGTGGCAGCAAACGAGTGTCGGCCTCGGCGCAGACACTTCCAGCAAAGCTGGCAAAGCTAGCTTGAAGGGGTCACCCTAAAAGCCCCGTCCGCAGAACGGTGTTCATCTACCATGGTCTGAAGGTAGTTGACTTTGACGATCCACTTGGATGCTGTTCAAATCCCGCCCCGGCCCGCTAGTGATTCAGAGAGAACATGGGACACTACTCAAGGGGGGATCCAATCCACCAAAAAAGGACCCGAGTCTTGACTGTACCCAATTGGAGACATGGCTGCGAATCCGCTCAGTTCATTCATGTACAGAAAATCTACTCTCCCCGAAACCAAACATAGTCGGAGTCGCCTGTATTGGTACGGGCAAATATATAGTCTTTCAAACCCTCCTGACTGGGGCTTAATATGTTGATATGCCGGATCGCCCAGGTCTTCTCAATGTTCCAAACCTCTTTTCTGTTTGTGTGTAATGGGTGTTAATTTTGATAACCCACCACTATTCACGTTCCAACACACACCGGTTCGTCGTGCTCGACCACACCGAGCTCGTGCTCGACGTCGGCCTTGCAAAAGCCGCTGCAGTGGTGCTTCTCCTCCATCAATGTCAGGACCACCTCACAGAGCAGTCCCCATCGACGGTACAGATCGGTAGAGCCTCAAACTCAGAGATTTCGCAGGTTCTCTGCAGGTTCTCATCCTCCGTGGGTCTTTTGTTTAGTATTGATGTTTGGCCGGTGGCCCTTGGCAAATTCCATCCAACTGCCCCGTCCAACTCGGGCCGGTGAGTGATTTCAAGCCTCACAAATCAGGAGAACCGTCCCTCTCTCCTATGTCTCTACTTGTTACTAGTAGCTTCTTGTTCCTAGTAGTACAGCTAGCGTCCTTGCTCCTAGTAGCGATGCCAGGAGCCCCTAGTTGCTTCTTGTTCCTAGTAGCTATGTCTTTTTCCTTTCGCAGCATGAGCATGCCGCGAGCGGCCGCCTATATGGCCGCGACGTGGACCCACTTCCAGTCGCTTCTCGGGCCCACTCAGAGTTGAAAAGCTGCCTGGATAGAAAATCTCAATGCTACAGAAAGATCTGCAATTGACTTTCACCAAGCACATGTCAGTCCATTCCAGGGTTGAAACCAATGTCTCTTGATTCAAGAGTTCGGACTGTTTGGCCCTCTTCTGGGGGGGGCCATGTAAGTGAGCATTATGCAATCAACCAGGCTCAGCCAACAAAAGGCTTGGAGATACGCACCATT